ATGACCCCATTGAAGATTGAGATCGGGATCTCGGGGCTGATATAATACCATTCTTCCAAGAAAATATATAATCTCCTAGAACCCAAAGTTTTGCCATCCGGATACATTGCGATGAGAGACTCGGATCACCAATCCGTGGGTGCGATGTATGAAGTTCACGAATCCTGGTGCCTGATTTCCCAGCCATCCCGGACCCGCGTACGTGCTTGGCTCCTTCCACAACTACCGGCAGAGAAAGTAGACAATAGCTTGTAGGCTTATGTGTAGCATGTAATTTGTTGTTCGGAACACTACGATGAACAGTATCCTCCTTCTGAAATCTCTCGTTCGAACGCCTCCAGCTGCCAATGACTTGACGCAAGAGCCTACATCACAACTCCAGGGTATCGTCGCTCTCCCCACAGAACTATGGAGTATCATCATAGATTACACAGTTCTACAACTCATGGATGAAGACACACATCCGTTCGGCGAGCTTACAACTGCACTTGATCTGCGACTTGTGTGCCGTGAGTCCCTGCTCTGCACGAAGACACTAACGCAGAACCGAGCAAACTAACTCCTATCCCAGGGACGTTCAACAAAGAAGTACTCCACGCTTTAAATACGAACATAACACTCGCACATTTCCCTCGTACATCATCTACCTACTTGCTCCTTTGGTGGTCTCATACCCAACGCAAATCTGGCCTCCATACCACCCTTTTTACCTCTGCGATTCCGAACACAGCCCATACCACCAACCTCCCCATCGTCTCCCAAAAGCTAGCTGCGCGTCTTCTGAATTGTCTCACAGTAGCCGAGACTCTAGCCAGACTACATTACGCGCCATTACATGAATACATCGAGATCCTAGAAGAGCCTCTGCCATGGGATTTCTATACGGTGGATAAGCTGCGCCGATTATGTCACGCAGCGGCACTGTCAACTTGCTGCCAAGAGTACATGTGCCGACCTGAACGGTTTTACGCTAGATATGGGAAAGATGGGATGCTGATGGCGGATGTGTGTCTAGAGGTTGCGCTGTTGGCGGCTTGTGGATATGAAGTCAAGAGGATTAAAAATGTGATGGTTCGGCTTGCGAAGGCAGGGGCACTAACAGGGCATGAGTCGGTGTCGAAGATGTGAAGACGGTGATTTTGAAGATGAAGAATATACTTTATCATTCTTGGTATCAACTAACACTCTCACACCAATTCGCCAAATGGCTCTTCTCTTGAGATTGGTTTTGGCGCTGCTGCCACTGTGCGTCACCCAGATACACGTCCTCATATCTCTTTCCACAACCTCACATCGTTTGACTGGGTGTCGCAGGTTCCTCCGCGTTGGGATAAGGTCGTGGTTGGCTTGGTTTGTCGACTTGTCGCTACTTCTAAATTCCACACGTTTACCAATCGTCTTTGTCGGATTCGTCGTCTGTAAACATGTCAGCATACTGCTAATCCAGCGAGATGAATTGAACTTACCACTGTGACTAACTTTTGACTTCCTTGCCGCAAGAGCACTAGCCAGTGCTCCAGCCAAGCCAGCATCTCCAGGTGTAGCTGCACCACTGGCTCCCCCAGAAGCTCCTCCAGCAGGTTCCGCGCCAGGAACTGCCGCTGCACTGCGATCCTTTTTCTCTGTATCTGAAACCTTCTTCAATCTCGCTCCTCCTCGAATATCCGCTAGCAAGCCGTCTCGCCCTGGCGCTGGTTTGGGCAGAGGCGCGCCGCCGCTCGGTGGGGGCGGTGGGCCAGGTGGAGGTGGTGCCACAGCGCTTCGTGAAGGCATTGGCGGCGGCGGAGGAGGCACAGAGCCAGGAGGCATTGGCGGTGGGGGCGGCGCGCCTGTGCTTGGGATAGGGGGTGGAGGTGGTGCTGAGCTGTTGGGCATCGGTGGAGGAGGAGGAATCGATCGTCCCGGCATGGGCGGCGGTGGAGGTGGTGTCGGTGCTACATTGCTTGTTGGGGGTAGAGGCGGTGGGACTGGTGCCGCGCTCGAAGGGGGCGCTGGTGTAGGTCGAGATGAAGATGGCGGTAGTGGAGGAGGCGGTGGTATGTTGTGGACAGGAGGTGGTGTCGGGGCTGCCGATGTCTTCGGCGGGAGCGGAGGAGGCGCGGATGGCGTGTCTCTCGCGGGCGGCGGTGGAGGAACTGGCCCTCGGCTTGGGGGTGGTGGAGGTGGACCGGAGGGTACGCGATTGCCTGTGAAGGGCGGAGGTACACCGAACTTGCCTCCCACTGGCCTCTCTTCGTCGGGTACGGGTGTCTTGGGCGGGCGCGGCGGCGGTGGAGGACCTGGGTTGGCTGCGTTGGACGAGGCTCGCGATCTGCCTGGTGGTGCCGGGGGTAGATTGGCGAACTTTCCTGCTTCCGCAAGTGGTGGAGGCGCTCTGAAAACTGGTTTGGGCGGTCCTGGAGACGGTGAAGCTTCGCGTGGTGGTGATGGCGGCGCAGGGCTTCCTGAAGAGTTGCGATTGAGGGCTGCGTCCGTCCTTGTTCTTCGCGCTGGCGGAGGTGCGGGCGGAGGTCCTCGTTTGGAGCCACCTGTGTTCTGAGGGCTGAGAGATGCGGCCATGGGAGGCGCACTTGGTGGGGGAGGCGGAGGTGCTCTGGATTTGCGCTGGTTGTTCTCATCCTTGAGCTTCTCCTCCTGCTTCCGCTGCTCAATGTATAGCTTGATGAAATCGGCGTTTTCTTCGATCTGGTCCTCGGTGATGCCCATGGCCAGCAGTTCCTTCAACAGCGGCTGCCATGATGGGTCGGTAGTGTCGATGGCGGAGTTGCGAGCGCTTGTGGCATTGGAGTGGGTGCTCTGCACAGGCGATGTGACGCTGACGGGTGGAATGATGGACGCTGGCGGCGGGCCAGGTGAGGAAGAATGGCGGTCACGTCCGGTGAGCCTTCCCAGCAGGCCGTGGCCATGGCCCCCGCTCTTTCCGTTGGCTGAGGGCGCGCTGGTGCCGGCGGATGCGCTGAAGGGCTTGTTCTTGGTGTTCTTGTGGGCGTTCTTTTCGCGGTCGTCGAGCTTCTTCTTGAATGTCTTGGCCTCCTTCTCGTCGGCAAAAGACAGGCCGGCTAGACAGTCCTCAAGCTCAAAGGTGTGGAAGAAGACGCGGTCCTGGTTGTACGAGAAGGTGTCGTAGATCTCCTGGTCCCAGATGACACCGCGACTTTGGGGCTGCGTCCGTCAGTCGTGCATTCTGTGCTGTGGCGTCCCTCGCACCTACCGATATGTCCACCATCTTGAGCCAGAAGGTGTTGCCGACCAGGTCGTTGGCCAGCACGACGGCGCCCTGCAGGCCCGTGTAGGTCCATCGGTGCCGGTCCGGGTAGGCGATGTACAACTTGGCGACGGCGACTGTGTGGATCTTGTTGGCCGACTTGGGCACGGTGCGCTTGACCGTCTGCTTGTCCTCGTCGGAGAGAATCGAAGGCATTGCGGCGTGCTTCGCGACCTCGAGCGCGGAATTGGAGGAGGTTTGGGCGTGCTCGAGTGCTCAGCCGTTGGTTGGGCTTGGGCGTGGCTGGTGGGGCGTGCTCCTCACTCCACTGTTAGGCAGCACATGGGAAGAATCGCAGTCGCTTGGTAAGCCAGTCGAGGCTGCATACGGATGGCGAGGTGAATGATGCGGTGCCGCGTGGAGATTGCCACGGTGTTGGTAAGAAGAATGGCGGTGCTGGTGAAGGGGAGACGTCACTTGCGGCTAACCACCCGACTGGGCGGACAAGGGAGAAACCCATCCAACGCTTTCTGCCCCGTCACGTTTGCCGACCCACAGCAACCTCATCCGTAGTCCATGGATCCATATAACGACTTCAAATCATTACGAGATTTCGCTTTCACTCTGCTCTTCGAAAATGTAACATTGACCCAAGATTCCCGCCATTGCACTCGCTGAAGGCATCGCGACTTTCTCACGCGACACTGCGTCCGCGAGGCCAGTGCGGGACCAGTACCCTGTCGAGATGACGACTTCTCAAGCTCCTTTATGCCTCAGCTTCATGCATACATTCGTATGAGAAGACATGCACGCACCCTGAGTTCATGGCCTCTAGCGTCAACTGTCTTTGTAATACTCGGATCCAGCGCCGCTGACGCCGACTTTCCGACTAAAAGGCCTCCAGCGAACGATGACACCTTGACGGCTTGGCATCATCCCAGTTGATTCAGGCAACAACACCGGTGACATGGAAAAATGTAGATTGCATCATCACAACTATTTCTTTACTTGACGTATTCGCAGTCATGGACGATTTGTTTGATGGCTACATTGTGTTGGACGGCATAGGCGACTTCCTTGGGAACAGTGTTCCTGCCAACGATCCCAAAGCACCTGACGATGTTCCGCAAACGATACACCACGCAGGAGTATCGAAGCAACCCATACGACCAAAGGAAAACAGTGTGAACGGATCTGACCAATCGTACGCTCCTCACGCAATGCACAGAACTATACCTAACTCACATCTAGCAGCACCACCGCCTCTAGCGGCGACACACCCGCGCTGACAGGGTTACGACAGCGACGCGGACACACTAAGAGTCGTCTGGGTTGCATCCCGTGCAAACGACGCAAGATCAAGGTACCGCATCTGTTTCCAGGTGCCTCGTCATATCACTAAACTATATTAGTGTCCAGAGACATGGCCTTCATGCGCGAACTGTGACAAGCGTGGACGTAAGTGTGGCGTCGTGAACTAAGATCAACGTCTCACCAACTATCCTAGTGGTGTGCAGATACCCCGATGTATTCAAGCATGCACGGCGCGACTACATCGAGTCAGCAGTGTCAAGTCCTCGTCAAGTTGTTAAGCTTTCCGACACACCTACTATCTACAGCTCAGAAGATATGCAGCTGTTTCACCACTATCTCGTCTCAGCACATCCTTGGATTCCGCACGACTGGGAGGAGCTTTGGGTCAAGGATGTTCCAGCAGCGTGCCATAAAGTGAGTGAAGCTTTAGGTTCATCCTGTAAGAGATGTAACATTACTAACTACTCAGTACCCATATCTCATGGACGCTATGCTGGCTCTTGCTGGATCTCATCTTGCCGTTCAAGTTGAGAATCCACAGACTGCCCTCGCAGTGCAACATCGACAAAAGGCCATCGTTGGCCTCGAGGATGCCTTCGCCAATTGGCCCCCGACAGCTGAGGAATCGTACATCATGTTAGCAACCTCTTACTTGCTATGCTTCCAGTCAAGCTATATAAGTGACGGCTTTCTCGAACACTTTTTATCTTTGCGGGGATGCTCATTCCTCTCTCAGCTTATCATAGACGAGGGTTTCAGCAGCCCTTTCTCCACACAGAAAGGCTTGAGCATGATAGCCATGGACACAGCATTTACCAAATGTCCTGAAGTCGACCAGGAACTTTTGCAACAGGCTCTACTGTCTTTGAAAGCCCTTTCTGGTGCAATGACCGGAACTGGTGTACATCCCATCGAGAAGGCCATTGTCGGCCAGCTCGCCGAAACACTTCGACTCCTGCTGCATTCAGACCTGGAAAAAGAAACCGATGAACTTCCAAAACGTCGTGACTCGATGTTGGATCTCTTCCCGTTCGCCAACCCGATCTTACCACAAGGATTCGGGCTCGCCTTTGACAGCATCGACTGGGAAAACGTTACGGATCCACTCCCTGGCGCTCCGTACCCCATTCGGTCTTTTGCAGCTATGATGGTCATCCTCACGATCTTCTCAACCTGGCCACATGAAGCACTCATGCGCATGTTTGACCGCACAAATCAGCTTGGCAACGTCATCATGGCCCACTTTTGCGCCGTGCGATTCGTCTTGTCCTCACTAGCTGCACCAAAAATGGCCTTGAAAACCCCTACAAGGGCGACTGTTCAGTGGAATGCCTTGATCATAGCTGCTGTAGACGATGACAAAAGTGGAGAATGGACGGAATATGTGGAATGGCCAAGAAAGATATTACGATGTATGGAGGCTTGTTGTGCGAGACACAAAGGCTTTACCATGGAAGACGTGCGCAGTATGCTGTTGAACGATCCTGGAGCATTCAAAGAAGGAAGGGCAAGGAGATACTGATTAACGAAACATCATGGATTGACACATCAACTACGCATCGACCGTTCCGTTCAATCTACTCGGTCATAGGTCTACTCTGTGTATAGTAAGAAGAATATTCACCCAACTCTTGTCTCTAGATACGGGTCTACAAGAGGGGCCGAATTCATCAGTGAAAACCTGCGATTCACGCAGTACCCTGCAGGTGCCTGTCGCATACGCCTACTTGTTACCCGCGTACTCGCAATATGGCTGATTGCAGAGGATCGCACAAGACCGTCTGCTCAAGTGAAGGAGAATCTTTGCGATCGGTGCCCGTTGGCCAGTCCCCACCCTTGCTCTCACCCCCCTCAACAGCGATCGGGAAGTACTCCCACTCTCATTCTCCTGCGCAAAGCGAAACACCCCAACGGCTACCAAAAACAGCAACACTCACCACCTTCGCTATGCTGGAAGTTCTTGTGATGGCCATCTTGAGGTTTCTGGCCCGCATCCTACTACTATGCATCAACTTCTGGACTTTCATCACCAATCTACCTGCGAATTGTACACGGCTTGTGTTAGCCCTCCTTAATTTCGAACCAATCGCCTGGCTCAGTTCGGCGATAGCGCTTGCCCTATTCCTCTTCTTTCGCGCAGGTTGCCGGACGATTCTAGAGGCCGCGAAGCTCCTCGCACTCAGAGAGGAGCTCGAGGCTGAACTCGAGCGTCACGTCGCGCTCAGAACAATCAGATGTGCGTATCTTTTCACTTATATTGGACAAGTAACTGACGTTACACAGTCAATCGGGTGCGCGCGGGTACTTACGACGAAGGAACTGTCGTGCAGGGTATCCACATCATTGCAGCGGACAAGTGGGATATGGTTATCTGCGGAATGGAAATTGCGGGTGGGTGGCGAGATGGGCATTTTTGGGCTCGCATTCGTGGAGCTGATGAGTGGATCAAGTTCGGAAGCCAGCTCGTCATCAACGGCAATGATGTTACTGAAGAGGTGGTGAAGTCAGGTGGGCACGTGGATCTCCAATGGGCAGAGACAGAGACACCACCAGAGTACAGACAAGACGCAGAGAGCATCGGGATATAGCGAGGGTTCTACCCGTACACAGGACATTTGACGACTACCCAGTCGTGAGCCCAATCCTATTCAAACAAACCGGTTCTACAAGCCTGGCCTTATCATCACATTTACACCTACACCCCAGCTCTTTCCTCCCATCCCCATCGCTGTCCTCGTACCTCGGTATCTTGATCCCCTTCGCCTTCTCATGTTCTGTACTCGCAAAAGTACAAACCTGCAAATCATCGTGTATATACCCCCAATCACTAAAATGATGCAGTTCCTGGGGCTGCAGTAACATGGCTGCAGCCAGCGAATGCACAGGCGCATCACCCCATCTCTCATAGTAAAACCCGCCGTCCCGGTCTAGATAGTCAAAGACGGCGCGATACGCATCTCCACGGAAGAAATCCATATCCGCAATCTCAAAGTTGGACCAAAAGTGACACATATTCCACAGATCACCCCGCTCATCTCTATTGCGCAGCGCAGCTAGCATGCGACGAAAGGGCCACGGCATCCAGCTTGCGTCGACCATGGCAGTCCAGAGCGTGGAGGTGGGGATGCGGTATTCATTCTTGAAGAGGGAGAGTTTGCGGAAGAGCGAGGGGACGGTTTGGCCGCGCTCCCAGAGGGCGGTTGTGTAGCCGTAGCGTTTCTTGTGGCGGGCCATTTCGACAAAGGGGTCGTAGGTTATGGCGCAGGTGAAGGAGATGCTGGGTTCGACGCGCCAGTAGTATTTGTAGGGGAGGAGGGCGGGGTGGTCGTAGAAGAAGCTGTGGGGTTGTTGTCAGTGTTGTGCGCTGAGTATGGGAGAGAGGCTTGGGGTGGACGATGCGACGTACCCAGATTGAAAGCGGCACATGTGGTGGTAGCTCTCTAGTCCTCCGTATTGTATGCCCCGGTTCTTCATATGTTGCATGCTCTTCTTCGCACGATCTTGGTCGATCCATTCGGGATACCCCCACATCTCCTTGGGTATGACTTCGAACTTGACGTCTGCGCCTTCCCCTACTGCCTTGCCCACTTTCCGCTTGAAGTCCTCGGTCCATTCCTCATCGTTTAGGAAAACCCAGGGATAACCAAAGTTGTCGTTGAACTGTTCCTGCACGCTTCGCACGCTTGAAACTGCACCCTTGACTTCCGAGTTGCGCGCGAGCATCATGAACACGGCGGATTCGCGCGCAGTCGTGTTTAGGACGGGGTCCTGACATCCTGTGTAGAAGGGCGCATCGAGGGGCGGCGAGGGGCGGGGGACATCGTATTTGTGTACGTGGACGTATGCTTCGACGAGCAACAAAGAAGCGATAGCCAAGATCAACTTCCAGTGCGACTGCGCTGTGCGCGATAGTGAGCGTAGCGGATGGCTCCCTGGTCGCGTAAGAAGTTTGGGCATAGCGACGAACCCATAATGTTTAGCAGGAAGTCGAGAGAGGACACCGTGCGAAAACGCGATGAGACTGCCCAGCCCATTCCTTCTTCACGGGTGGCTGCATGAGAGCCATCATAGTTGCTGCGCCCGTCCCCTAAGGCCAGATACGGCCTAATTGTCCGCCTGAACAGGGCCGTTCTAGCCGTTTGATTGATGCATCCCCGGACCCCCATGGGCGTTAGCAATCGACGGTCAGAGGAACAAACACACGCCTGGATCTGCCCAATTTCTAGGGCGGGACGAGGATAATAGAGACATATGGATGTCAATGAATGATGTAAATTAGATGTTAGGCATAAAGTCCAGGTGCTGCTCAGTGTGGTACGGTGATGGCAGTACCAAGTTGACAGCCAAGGGACCTCGGGAGGGGATGCAGGTCTGCCTAGCCATGTCAGGTTAGCTCAGGGCTATCAGGGGGCCTAAACTCAAAAGAGGCATGCATGTGTTTATACACAATTGGTGATTGAGACAGCGTTCTTGAATACGTGTAATTGACTGTAATAGTCTAGCAATATTTGCTGAAATACGGCCTTCTGGGCTTGCGCGAAGTGTTGTAGCTGCTTGCGAATATGCTTCGCCTCGTGCCACCACATCTATAGGTACATGTCAGAGATCAATGTCTACAGCGATACGGACATTGAGCTGTACAATGGATGCATCGAAAGTTCGTTTGGTCACTGCATTCGTAAAGCAACACCTTTGTGTCATCTGGAAGGACATAAAGTAGTAGGCTATTTGGCACGCAATGATAACAGACGACCTGAGTTCAAGAGAGAAGCACCATCAACATCACCTAGCAAGAAGAGGCTTAACAATCCCCCGATCGATACGATGTTCGTCTTAATCACCAAGAAAAGAAGAATACGAAGCAGGTGTTGCAAATTACTCAAAGGGGCAAAGCATACATACTGAAGCTGAACAGGGTATCGGGTCGTGCAACAGCGATCCACAATGACGTACAACAGGCGGTGGTTCGCAGCAATACGCAACAATCCAAAAGAAGCAGTCCAAAGTGTCACAAACGACACGAGAAGGGTACGGCATCCGAAGCAAACTGAGACATGCGCAAAACGAGACGTGGGTATTCCCAAAAGCAAAGGGTCCTGCAAAACGCAACCAAAACGCCATGAGCCGTGGGGCTTTTCAATCTCTCAGGTATCCCCCAGTGTTTTCCATGCCGCGAGGCTTTCCATTCTTAGTAGGTATAGTGTGGGTATCCGTGGGGACGAGGTATGTCTGTTCGTTGTGGTAAAGGAGTGTAGGTAAGTTGGTGGGTGTAAGGTAGCTTGTGGTACTGGGAGGTGCCGGTCCAGCGTACTGGAATGCGTTCATATCCGGCGGTCTAGACGGTCGACGCGCGACTTGAAGCCTTTGACAATCTCTCCAATGCGACGGACTTTGTCGAATTCTACTTGGAGCTCGTCGATTTCGCGGAGGATGGCACGGAAGCGGGCGATTTCAGCGTCGGCCATTTGCATGGCGTTGCCGGCGCGGTCGTACTGTATTTGGGTTGCTGTTTGTGTCTGCTGGGTGAGCTGGCCATTGTCAGTACTACACCACTAATAATCGACACCGTGTGAAGCTATGAACATGACAACTCACATACTGCCAGCGCTGCTGGATGGAGTACATCAGACGGTCAAAGTGGGCGCTGAGCGCCTGCAAACTAGAAGGATCCAGGAGGAGACGGCCTTGGCTGGAGGCGTGAGAGGCAGCGCGCGAGGAATTGGAGCCTTGCTGCGAGGCGGCAATTTGCTGCTGGAGATATCTGCTCTCGCTCGAGTTGAGGCCCAGGTCAGACACTGGGATGGCGGACATGTGCACATAATTATCTTAAGAACATGGTCGATCGGGAAGTCTGCGCCCTGGCTTCCGCGTGTGTGACGGCTGGAGAGGATGCGGGCGGAGCAATTGTTACTAGTGGGCTACGACTGCTGGGAAACGTTACAGCAGGCCTGCGTGGAGGAAGAAGGGGAAATATGCACGCTGATGTGGTTTGGGATCAAAGGGCGAGTGAGATGCGCCAAGCGGCCAGTCCGGCTCTCAAACCCTCTCACCAAAAAGCAAAGGCCTGCGAACGCCCATCTATCCCACACCCTCATCTCCTCTTAGCCGGCTGCAGCCCTATGTACTGCCGTCCCCATGCGCCCGTACGCAGCCGCCCTGAGCTGTCGCCCAAGCTGCACATGCTGACATCCGCGACGCAGCGCGTATCGCACCGGGCGAGCAGGCGGTCAGCGCATTCACCCACTGCGACATGCTGCTGAACCACGACTGCTTGCTTTTGCGCCCGTACGACCATAGCGCTGTGCCGCACTCGAACTTGTCACGCCCATTAAAGCGCGGGATAGTGTCTCCGCACCCACACCCTCTCCACAATCAGCGACAAGGATGCATTGATTGTGCCGCGAGGTTCATGGGTGAATGTTGACCCCACCAGCTCGCATCAGGAGGGGTAGGGTACTCCTGGCAGGCCGTGGACGAACCAGATGCAGAAGGTGACAATGGTATGAGAGCGTGACGACCATGTGCCGCTGGAGGAGCACTCCAAGTATCAAGCCTCCATGTTCCTACTGCCCGTGGTATGGCACGCGGTGCTTCGCCATGGCGTTGGTGGATGTCGTCTTGCCGAGGCTGAATGCATGCCAGGCAATGCTAGCACAATGTCTCCTGAACGCGTACATTCCGTGTCAGATTTTTATGCAAACTCTCTGGAGTCAATGTCGCAAACTTAATTCTTCGTTGAGACAGAGTAAGCTGATCTGTGGATTATTCTAGACTCAAACCCAACACATGCGCTGTAAAAGAAGTCTTTGTATCATCTAATTCAGATAGTTGTAACACTCGAAGAAACTACGCAACATACAATACAGCCCTTTCGTGGCTGCATTGTCTGTTAGGAGGCGTCTTCGTATGTTACAACCACTGACCAAGATGTTATTCGATAGTCTCTAGCTGCGACAGATACTAACGTCGTCGATCATCGTACAGATACAGAGGTATAAAAGGAAAAGAAAAGAAAGGGGGTATATACACCAAGCCGTCCAAACGCTATGCACAAATGAAGGTAAAGAAAAGTACACCCTCGCCCTATAAGGCGTAGTTCTCGGCGTGGAGGAAAATCTCATCGCGCCCACTGTCACTCCACACACTCCTTTGGAGTTGCGCAATCGTCTCACTCACACTAACGCGCATGGTGGGGGGTCCGCAAACGAACACACACGTTCTGCGCCCAAAGTTCTTGCTCAGTCCCTTGAGCAGATAGGGTATATCCGGGCGTCCGTACTCGGTGCTCCAGCCATCCTTCTTCTTGACGGCCGCAGGTAGAAATGCGAAGCGCATGAGATTCTTTTGGAACTCAGTGGGTGTCGACGGGAAACCGAAGTCGAAACCCTGCCCGCCTTCGGTAGGGTTGTGGGAGATGTCCGGATTAATCGCGCCGGAACCCGAAGAGACGGCTTGACTGATGTCGAGGGACAGGTTGCGTTCTTGACGTCGGGCAGCAAGGCCGCGTGGCGCAGGCGCTATAAGATCGGGGTTCGAGCTATGTGCTGATTCGGCAGAGTTTCGCCCGCTATTGTAACTTGGACGTGGTGGTGCGAGGTGGCCCCGATTGATGGGGACCATGTGCGCTTGTGGAAGCGCTGTGATGCTGTCTTCGTTCTCGCGACGCAGTTCAGACTCCTTCTCTGGATCTCCCTGCGCTTCGTCACGGATGAGAGCGGAGTGTCGTTTTGAGGAAATACCGGAAACACCGGAAAGGCGGTGGTCGGCGATGTTCTGGAAAGCATCGTTGACCTTGTCGTGAAAGAACATCGACACAGGACGGGTAGGCGTCTTTGCGCTGACAAGTCCGCCGTGTGGGTTGCGCTTCGCGGCGGTAATGTAGAATTGGCACTCGACCGTCTCGGGAGGCGCATACTCGCGGCAGATGCGCAGTTCTTCTTTGAACCACTCCATGGTTTCGGGACGCTTGAGGGCCCAGATCACATGGATCTTTCGGGTAACAGCTTTGCCATCGCGCATCTTTTTGATAAGAGACAGCAACTGCGAGACGATGGCCGTGATACCGCTGCCTCCAGCAATGAGTACAACGTCATCAAACGCCTCAATGCGCCTCTGCATACCTCCATACGGACCATCGACAAAGGCACGGTATGTGTGCCATGGACCGTGATCGAGAGCGTTGTTGAGGACCTTCCTCGTGAAGCCGCCGAATGGGCGGAAGACGAGTACCATGTCCCGGTAGCCCTCGCCGTACTCCGAAGGGAAGTCCTCGCTGCATAGCGAAGCGATGGTGAAGGGGTGGTTTTCGAAGACCGAGATTCCAGGCATGCGGAGATAGACGTACTGTCCAGGTCTCCACCGCATCTTGGTTGGGATGGTGATCTTGATGGCGTTTTCGGGCATGAGCGTCACGGCGGCCTCATCGCCAATGAGCCAGGATAGCTGGCCTGGGCGAGTCCAGTTCAGATAGAACAGGCGCATGAAGTAGGAGAGAAGCCAGATTCCCAGAGTAGACAGTAAGTAGTGCCATGACGTTAGGTAGTTGTTGCAATGCCAGAACATCATTCCGAGGAAGACAATAGCAACGGGTACGTGCAGAGCCACGAACAGTTCGTACATTCGGTGGCGGAGAGGCGCAATAGAATGCGTACATAGGAAGCACAGTGGCACGAGTGCTGCAATACCTGAAAATCGTCAGTACGTGATCCGTAATTGGGGAGGGTAGTCGTACCAGTTCCGTAAATGTACATCCCGCTCTGTTGCTGAAGCAGCTGCTGGAACGCTTCCTGCGCGCCCTTCTCCCAGACGGGCGTGACGTAGAAGGGGACAGTGTGCAAGATGCTCAGCAACAGGCAGATGTACGCCGCCCATCTGTGCAACACATTCAATCGCTCATGGCTAATGCCAGTGATCATCGAGATGAGATTTGCCTTGGTTGCAAGCGCAACAATCCATGG